GTAGTGGATGTGGTTATCATACATGTAGTGGATGTGGTTATCATACATGTAGTGGATGTGGTTATCATACATGTAGTGGATGTGGTTATCATACATGTAGTGGATATGGTTATCATACATGTATAAGAAAACTTTATCTCCATGAAGTTTAATAGGAACAAATGGTTTTTTTTATTTTTATTTTATTGAAGTAAGTTTTTCCTTAAAAATGCCTTTTTTTTTTTTTTAAGCCAGATCAGAATTCTTGTTTAATTCCACGAAGAAAAGTGTCTGAAAAATGTTTTAAGTTCAAGGTACACACTAAGTAGTGGTACTTGACACATATGTTGATAGGTGGTAGGACGTTTGACTTTGTAAGACTCCTTCAGTATAGAAATGTGTGTGGTTTTACGGCCATCCCCTGTTTGTACAGACCCTGCACATTAAGTCCTATATGGACACTACAGGACATTACCAGGCATTGACCTGTGTAATTACATAGCTACCTCCCTTGTACTGTCACCCTAGTGTATCATACCTTTGTCGGGTTCTATCCTATAGAATTCTGTAACATCTACAGCCTCAAGTCAATTTCGTGTTAAACTTCTACTATTATACTCACTGTTTTGTGTATTTGATGTGCTTTATCAGCAAATTTAAAGATTATTCTTAAAGCAAACCTTTCCTTTTTCGTAAGGCCAATAAAAGACTAAGAATAATTCTGGTTACCTACTTTCTTACAAATTTGAAGAACTTATTTTATATATTGAAATTGAATTCATTGATTTTTCCCAAATACAATGTTTCCTATACATAGAGCATATACCCTGTAACAAACAGACTCAATCAGCAATGGTTAAAATTACATGTTTGTCAGTGTGAGGTGTCGAGAGTTGAAATCTAACCAATCAAATGGTCAGTAGCATAGTTTTGTCAGGTTACATATGGCTGCAGATTTGTAGGATGACTACCGGTATAATGACATTATGTCATTATAGTCATCCTACAAATCTGCATATTTGAAATCTAAATCTCTGCACCTTTGAATTCTTTAAAAGACAAAATCTAAAAATCATGTTTAGCTATTTGATTGGTTCGTGCAGACATCAAAAACAGACAAATTGCAAGGTCTAATAGTGTGGTACCTTATCAAAGCCAGCTTCTTTTATCCATTATGTTGCTGCAGAATTCAGTTTTATATTTAATCAAAGCATTACTCTGAGTTCACAGGTAAGCAGACTTCTGTAGCAGCTTCCAGACTACTCAACTAGTATAATCTGAGAGGTGGTAGGCATGAGGATTTTGATTCTTTCATAATAAGAAAATCCCAAGGTGCAGAAAGTGTTACTTTTGGATTTTGAAGATGACAAACTTTATTGATTTTGTACAGAACACTATCAGACTCTATGTACAGGTACGTAGACTACTAGAACACAGCTCTCTAATCATGCCGAGGTTGACTGTGTCGGCAATGTCACGCCTAAATAAATCGTCTTAATTTGTTTATTTGTCACAATCTATTTCTCTGACAGCCAACATATATATGGATTAGGCAATTACACAAACCAGAAAAAGAAAATTAGGGAAAAATATCAAACACTGTATTCAATGCTGGTACCTTGGTGTGAAATTTCATATAATATTTACTAACATTGATGATTTTAACATACTGTATAGCCTAAACTGTTCATTGGTACTTTCTTTTCATCCAGTGGTCCAAACTTATGTGGATACCAGAACTAAAGAAACACTAGCTACATCTGTAAGTATACAAACAATTGTATTATATCTGTTTTCATAGCAACCAAGAAATCCATGAATGTTTTCACACTATGAACAATTTCTCTTAAAATGTAAAACTCTCACTTATAACGAATTTTTTTTCATTTTTCAAAACAACTTTAATTCAGTGTAACTATTGATGCATGGCTACATTCAACAGAATTTTAAATACTTAAAAAATAAAGATTATTATAGGAGTGGATATAAGGTAATCACCGGATAACAAGTCACTGTAGCTTGGCAATCAATCAATGTGCACCACACCTTACGGGTACAGGATCATGTCTAAATATGGTTATAACAAACAGTTTTCTTATTTCTAAATATAACATCTGACTTATAAACATTTCTAAATGTGGAAATGACAATGTAAATCTTTCATTTGGTATTTTGCTATACGTATTGTGAGACATCAGATCTGTATTACAGTACAGCTAAATATTTTTGATCAATAAACATATCAGTATTAGGACTACATAAAGGAATCAACATAGATTAAATTTCTTTACACAGAAACATGAGAAGGTGTGGCCTTTAAACTTGAATGTGTCTTCTTGTGGTCTACAAAAATTATTGAAAATGTATATGGTACCCCCACTATAAACCGCGTAGTAAAATTGTTAGGCGTGGTCCTACACATGTGGCCAGGTAGCCAACGCTTCACCTGTCAGGTATATGACTCAGGTGTAGAACCATTGTCTGTCTGTGCAATAACTAAAGGTTTATCATGTAGGCCAATATACAGGAACCTGTTCACAAGTACAGCCTTCCTGGTCACAATACCTCTCAGCCTGACAAATAAAGTGCTCGCAAAAAGGAAAGATTAATAGCTGGAATGTGATTGTTTCAATTTTACCTGAGATTCACCTGTGTGAGCTACATGTACGAATCTCCTGGCAATCATACTTATTCTGGCTAATATGACACAGCAAAAAGAAATATGTAAACAATTAACACTAGCAAAACAGTCAGAAAACTAGGTTAACATTAAATCTCTAAAATATGTGGCTATCCATAATAACTTTTTTGTATGTCATTTCATTTTTTGTAATTCTTATTTCAATACTTTCTGGAGTGTTACTCGTATCTCACTTTGACAATTAAGATGACTTTGTAAATAATCTGTGAGTTACTGCACAAAATTTAATACATCTTGTACCCTCATAGCATGTTCCTATCTTTGAAGCACTAACTGCACAAAATCATACAACCACATGTACACAGTGGTTTCAATATCAATGGGGACAATTACCTTAAAAATGAAAGCTCATCTTTTGTATCCCTTTCAGACGATTGGTTTGATCTGCACAAGGATATCATATGTTACAGTATAGTCTAAATGACCCATTAACACGATAAAGTCATACAGGTCGAAACAGCAGAAAATGTGTCAAAGGAATGTATACCAAAACAGATACAAGGGTGTAAAATTTCTAAAAGAACATGGTAGAATGGAAATGATAATGATCCAAACTGTTGTCATGGGTGCAGCAGATCGACTCTGTCCTAGTAACAACTGTTACCATTGGTGCAGCAGGTCTACTCTGTCCTAGTAACAACTGTTGTCATTGGTGCAGCAGACCTACTCTTTCCTAGTAACAACTGTTGTCATTGGTGTAGCAGGTCTAATCTGTCCTAGTAACAACTGTTGTCATTGGTACAGCAGATCTACTCTGTCCTAGTATATCTACTCTGTCCTACTAACAACTGTTACCATTGGTGCAGCAGATCTACTCTGTCCTAGTAAAAACTGTTGTCATTGGAGCAGCAGATCTACTGTCCTAGTAACAACTGTTGTCATTTGTGCAGCAGATCTACTGTCCTAAGTAACAACTGTTGTCATTGTGTAGCAGATCTACTCTGCCCTAGTAACAACTGTTACCATTGGTGCAGCAGATCTACTCTGTCCTAGTAAAAACTGTTGTCATTGGTGCAGCAGATCTACTGTCCTAGTAACAACTGTTGTCATTGGTACAGCAGATCTACTCTGTCCTAGTATATCTACTCTGTCCTAGTAACAACTGTTGTCATTGGTGCAGCAGATCTACTCTGTCATAGTAAACCTCCCCTAAACAGAGGACACAGAAGAAAACCACCTAAGCAGGGACCAACATTTGTCACATCTATGGTATCATGCAGTGGAATACAGCAGGTCAATTCTTTTCCCAAACCTTTACTGGTTTTGCAGGGGGTATAATGAATAAAACCAAGCGTCTCCGTAAGATGAAGTCATGGTTGATCTGTGTTCATCATGCACTTGATTGCAGGATATTAATCAATTTGGGATCTGATTCTAAAGGATAAAGGGGCAATTTTACACAATTTTGAAAAAATGAAATGCAGCTTTCAACAATTTCATGAGTTTTAAAAGTGTATGTTTGTAACCAGTTGTTAAGTATATGTGATGTATGTATTGCACATTATACACCTAAGCTTGGATATGTTTGTCTATAATATTCTAGTTGTCCTCTGTTTAAATAATATTATTCTAGCTAACTTATAAAAGTCAGCCTCGAGCAGATTTATTGTTTGAAAAATGACCTGTGTACTTTATTTATTCTGTTTGTAATTGCGTTTTTACTTTAGGTCTCCCTCTGTATATATAGATGTATTACACGTATTCCTACTTCTTCTTCAAAGAGACAAAAAAATAAATTGATTACAATATATGAAATGTTTGATATTATAAACAATAAAATCTTGAGTTCACCACATTATATCACCAATTACCTATATATTAACATGTAACATTGGTTTCACTGTTCATGACTCAGTATATTGCAATTATTATCACTAACTTGGACAATTCCTTTCCCCTGAGGTATCAATTATAGTAACTCCAGTAAGTGCAATATTCCAGTTCTGATGAGCCCTACCATGACCTCTACAATACAAATAGGTAATACACAGGTGACCTCAGTAATAGTTATATCCATCTGCCACTAGTTTAAGTGGCATGTACATACATTTTGTGTTTAAACCTGCAGCATGAACTCTGTGATAACAACCAACCTTACTAGGAAACATGACAGTAGTTTCCAAGTATTTTTATATTTAGTTTTATAACGACTAAATTTGATATCTTAAGTCATCATGACTGAAAAACATTTGAGATAAATAGATAGGAATCTTGATAAATGTTCGTAACAGACTTAGAATGACAATAGCAGTCATAAATCTGGTGTTGTTGTCACCACTGTTGTCCATTTTTGCATATTAATTAACTAATGTTTAAGTGGACTAGATGTTCCAGTGGCCACTGTGGGGATCAGAGTCCGGGTGATTCTGAAGTTTGACAGGGCTGTCCATCATAAATTGTCCATACTCCTGTTATCATGGGTAGAGGTCAAAATGGGAAAGGTCAAGAGACCATGTAAAATCCTATTCCTTGAGCAGGGTAATCATTGATTTATGTCCTTAATAATCTGGGAGACTGACATGCAGGCACTTGCTAGGCTATACATCTAGTCAGCCATTACACCCCTACCTGTCCAGAGAAACTGTAAGACTTTCACTCAGACTGGGCGATTAACAGACAAATGTTGGTCACTGTCTACACTTATACGGTGACAGAAGAATTCCTCCAGTCGTACAGTCGCCAGCAGCCAGTTTTTATTTGATATCATATGCCACACCATAAACATTTAATATTTTACATCTTACTTATTCCAGAGTCAGGGACTAAAATCCACATTTGCATATGTCCTTTATTTTAGAGAAATTCTTGTGTATTTTATTTGGATATTCTGTAAAAAAAACTTTTTCAAATTCTGCATGCAGGGTGATCTTTGTGGGAGTTCTATTTTCACAGCTTACAAAATTAGTGAACACTGCCAGTTCAGCACTCCTTTAACAATCTTAGACTATTCACTTACATGTCAAAATTGTCTTTAGATCACAAGAAAAAAAAGATTAAGACAAATACCCTGCCATACCTTACATTTTATTTAAATATGTAAAAAATAAATATTAGAAAATTAATTGATCCATCGATAGAAAACCTCAATATATTAACTAATGCATGTACAAAAACACCAGGAACATGTTTGAGTTGGAATCAATTCAAACTGCAAAGTCACTTTTGATGCAAAAAAATAACCTTTAGTCCAAAACAAGGAATAATTAAAAAACTAAAATTCAGAGAAAAAACAACAAAAAAACACATCATTATCACAATATCACAGCTGGACTCTATTTTGGCACATATTGAAAACAGGAGGTGTGGAATGCATACTTATGAAGCTTTTTAAATCTTACCCAAAAACTTTGAAAGTTTTTAAGAGGGAAAACAATACCAGGGAACAGAATAGCTCACAGTTAATTTGTAACTGGCCAGCTAAATATACCACATGCATTGTCTATTGTCAACCTGTTATACAGTACAATGGTACAAAGGATAAGTTCACAACACAGGTGTTGTACGTGTGTGTGCAGATACATGTCCCAACACACATCCACCTACAGCTGATAAGAGATGGAAAACCAACAGACAGACAGAACAGTAAATCTTAAATAAATATACCGTCAGGGGGAAGTGTAATTCTCTCAATCACCTTATGTGTTGTATATATATATATATCTCTAAAGACAAAGAAGTACAATTTCTACAGCACAAGTGACCTCACACTTTCATCGGATGTTGAGCATACAAGAGGCCAGCTGGCTGGGGATGAGATGTAGATGATAGTGTACATTTGGTACCCGACTTAGGACCAGTTGACAGTGACACATGACTGTCTCCTGATGTACCCAGCATTCACCAGACACCTGTAATCAGCCAACATCTGATACACCTGATAATACCTGGATATGCCCTACAGGGGTCAAAAAGTAGCCGTATAAAAGTAGGGCAAGGAGAGATAACACTAGATCTAGTCACCTACCATCTACCACGAAGGCAAGGCTTTACTCATCTAACAATGGTTGGCTGAAACATTTAAAATAGACTGTCAATACATATCAACTGAAACAAAGGTACAA